ACGAGATACACCAAATAAGAACACACCAAGAGTTCATCATTGACAATGCTGTAGTCCCATCATCATCAGCGAAGAACCAGAGTTGATATCCTATTGGCGCTCGGCGCCCAGACTACATGTGGCAGATCCTATCTAGCCTATACTACGAAGMAGAATGATGACATCAACAGCGTTCCCGAAGTAMGAGCATATGGCGACCAATGTCGCATGCTTCAACACCAGGTATGTCTTGCGCTACCCTCACAACCTCGTTCCYCAACTCACAGATGCCACTAGCACCCAAGGACCACCCTGCGCTTCACCCAGCAACCAGCAGCGCAGCTTGGCTATGGCTGCGTGGTCCTTCCCTGCTCGCCCGTGAGAGCGTAGGTGCCAGCCAGCAAATAGCGCAGCAGCAGCGCTTGCGCAGCATGCAGCCAGCTCCCGAATACCGAATGAGGAGGCAGGCCCTTCCCTATATCGAAGTGGCCTGCCTGCGTCCAGTCCAGGAAGCTTCCAGTAGGCCCCGGTAGCCTGAGGCCCAGTCACGAAGAACGCAGGCCTTGGGCCTGAAGTGGTTGCATGTGCCCAACTGCCTTTGGCCTGTGCTTGGCCCGGTACCCGTATCCAGCCCAGGGCCTGCTTTACATTCATTCACACAGGCGGCCTAGGGCCTGAGTTCATTCAACCAACTGGCGCTGCGCAACTGCCTGAATTTCCCCAGTTGCGGGGTACCCTGAAAAACGAGGCCCTGAGGGCCTGTCGTGCCTGCCTTCACTTAGGGCGGCCGACCTTGCTGCAAATAAGGGCCCGTAGGGGCTAAGCGGGCGTAGCCTCGCATTCCCTTTTCTCTTTTTTTTGTGTTCCCTTATTCCTTCCTTTTTTTTTCTCTTTTTTTTTTCACTTTTTTTTACAAATGTACGCCCCTTCTATTCTGGGGGCCCTCAGTCCTTTTGCTCATCACCGGCAAGCATGTTTTTACCATACTTGCAAGAAGACGGGACGAGCGTCCGGTCCAGTCCGCTTTGCCGCGTGCGGCACCCTCCCCACGGACCGGACGGACCCGGACCAGACCGGACACCGGCGTTTTTTTTTTTGGGGGGGGGGGGGTGGGGCATAACTGGTCATCGGGCGCACATTCGTGCGCCGCACGGGTCCGGTCCAGCGGTCTGCCGCACGTGCGGAACTGCCCGGACGGCGTCCGCTTGCAAGTATGGTTTTTACAACTGAAGAAAGGGGGGAGGAACAGACCGGCCCTTTCCTGGTCAGTCTGTGTTTTTTCTTTTTTTTTCCTCGTTGGAACCTTTCATAGGGCCCAATGCCCAAGGCAGCGCATGAAAAGAACACCTAGAGGGCCAGAGGCTGATGTTCGGTCGGTCTGTTGTTTTGCTGCATATCTTGTGGTATGTTTTCTTTTTTTCTTTTTCTTTTGTATGACCTGTGATTGGCACTTTCTAGTGTTGAGCTTACTCTTTTTTTGTTTGTGGCTTTGAGACTCTTGAGAGAGGTTTTTTTTTTTTTTTTTTTTTTTTTTTTGTACTGCCAGAGATATTGAATATCCCAAAAAATAATAATAATAATCCAAAATCTTTCCTTGACAAGCCCCCACCCGCCCAGCTTGTGCCACGTGGCAGCAGTGCAGCGCCTGCGTTGGAGAGGACCACCACCAAGAAGTGACAACGACGAAGATACGCCGAAGACGCCGCCATTCATGATCCAGCTGGCATCGTGTGGCGCTGACCATTCTTTGCGCCTTTTTGATGTTCACATTTGCTGATTGAGCAGATTTAAGGAATTTCCCGCATCAAGCATGAGCATTGAGCTAAATCGAGGCACATCAAGCATGAGCATTGGGCTAAATCGATGGACTCGAAAGAGCGCATGACATACGTGAGCAGTACAAATCCATCAGCGCTCAGTCTATCGGGTGAGCCTACCTAACCAGCGCATGTGAAATAGAACATGTTCCACTATATTGGCATTCGAGAAAGTTCCTGTCACTCGTCGGAGCGAGCGAAAACAATCAATCGTCATGCGCCACGTGGCTGTGGTTCAGGGCCGATGTTGGAAAGAAGTCGTCAGCTCGTGTCATGAGATGTTGGGGTAAGTCCTATAGCGAGCGCAACCCTCTTTTTTTTTTTTTATTGCTAAGACATTGCAACGATGTGCTGCACTCTCACAAAAAAAAACGGCCAGTGTTATACTGGAGGAAGGTGGGGATGACGTCAAGTCTGCACGGCCCTTATCGGCTGGCCCGCACACGTGCTACAATGCCAATGACAATAGGAAGCAAGGCTTTAGACCACCAGTACATCCAGCTATCAGCCGCGGGCCCTTTTCGGAGGCTGGCCGTCGCCGATTCGGTTTTATCTACGGCGCTGGGCCTCCAAACCTTCCGTAGGCGACGAGTTTTCTTTTCAGCAAGGCTGGGGCCGTGTACTGGTAGTTCGGATTGTTCTCTGCAACTCAAGACGGATGATAATGCAAAAACCCTAAACCCTTTTGGGGAGCACAGTGACCGCCAAAAGTGTGCGAAATCGCTATCATACCCCATCAGCCACATACAGCACACACACACACACACTCGAAGTCCGGCGAAACAGTGTGGCACAGTGATGCTTTTTGGGGGGGGAGTTGTGTATAGCGAACATGACAACACACGTACACTCAGTTTCTCGGACTTAGTGCCATTCTTGTCAGGGGTTTGGTCGACAGTCTATGAGGATTGCAGGGTTGGTGTCAGTAAATTCCGACCACTTTTCTCGGGAGTGTATCTCTGAGCGATGTGGTGAGTCCTTATCGATCGGTCAAATGCATCTTGGGCAGACTGTCGGGGGTCAACCTCCTGATGAGTTGGTGAAAGTCGGACGAACAGTGATCAGTCAAATGCATCGTGGGTAGCCTCTCCTCAGGTGCTAGTGGTGTCTGCTCTTACCAGCACCACTATCACTGGAAGGAAGTTTCAAAAAAAAAAAAAAAAAAAAAAAAAACTGTCGGGGTTCAACCTCCTGATGAGTTGGTGAAGGTCCGACGAACAGTCTGGCTCAGTCATGCTTTTCTTTGTGGAGTTGTGTATAGCGAATATGACCACACACATATACACACACACACACACACACACACACACACACACACACACACACACACACCAGCTTTTTTAGGCGGGAATGTTGGTTTGGAGTCATGGCCACGATATCTTCGCGAGGAGGCTCAGAGAGTCTTTGCTGTGGGTGTCACTCTTATGGGCTGCTCTTTTGGAGAACATGGAAGATGGGGGACATCTATGGTGTTTTAAGCAGTAGTAGTGCTCCTGGTGTCGCGTGGAGATTCTACGGAGTTATTTTGTGGCCTTGTGGGCCGACTCAAAGGGCTCTTCCAATTCTTTCGGACAACTGGAGGTTCTGGTCGGTGCTTTCTTGTTGGTAGTGCCGTATGTGTTGTGGTGCACTTATTTTTTGTGGTCCATGCAATATAATTGTTAAGGATGTTGCCTTGTGTCCTTCATCGATATATGCCCGAATGTTTGGGTCTGTGGCTGGTATGTGATTTTGCGGAGCAGAGTGGAGTTGTATGGTGAGTGGGCACTTGGTGCTTCCCTCTACCTTTTTTCCTTAGATTGAAAAACTTATATTGACGAAACTCGGACGATGTAGGGCTGGTTGAATGGGTGTGAAGAGTCTGGGGATGGTTGGATCGGGAGGGCTGATCAGGGACAGGGATGAATGCCGTGGGCGGGGGATGGTGGGGGGGGGGGGGGTAGTGAGGAAGGGGCGTGTGACTGCGATGGGAGGGGGAGTAATGGGGTTGTGGGAAGAAAGGGCAGGGTGTTATGGGGGGAGGGGGGAAATTGGGGGAAATGGGGTGATAGGTCTGGTTTAGGGGTCCGGTTAGGGGATGGGGTGGGGATGCACGGAGGGGGGTCGGGTAGATAGTAAAATGAGGGGTGGAGAGGTGGTCCGTGAAGTGTGCTGGGGAGGCGAGGGAATGGGGAGTGAAGCTGGAAGTGGGATCGTTTTTTTTTTAGGGGAAGGATGGGAGTTGGTGACGGAGAAGTGTTCTGTGATTGTGGTCGTACCGTGGGGGTGGAAATGGGCAAAGTGGGGGGTGTCGAATGAGGGTGTCTATGTGCGTGAAGTCGTTTGATGCTTTCAGTTGCTGTTATCTACTATCCAGCTGTACGGATCGTCTCCCTCTACTATGAGCTAGTGAGTTTTGTCTCTGTCCTCTTTTGAAGTCAGTCGTCTTGAGTCCCGGTGAGCTCCCCGGAGAGTGTGAGTTTCTGCGTGCTTGGTGAAGTTCCGTTGCTTGAGATAGGGCGAAAGACCTGTTGCTGTCTGTTTTCTTGTTCGTAGCGCAAGTTAGAGAGTATTCGTCTTTTTTTGTGGCAGAACGTAGGGAGCAGCGGGGAGGTGTTGGAGCAGATAGGACAGGTGACGTCGGTTGATGCGGGTTTATGGTCTCTTGACTTATCTTGTTTGGCTGGGGAATGGCGACGGGGTCGACATCACCTGTGGAGATGCGCTTTTGTCTGTATGTCTAATGAATCGATTCTCTTCGACTCAGCTCTCCCGTTCACCCACTCCTGTATGGAGGAGAGTTATCCGCTCCCTGAGCTTATTTCTCCTCTCTTCCTCACTCGCGTCCCGTTCTCGTTCGTCGTTCTCTCCTTTGTCCTTGTGATTTGTAGTCTTGTCCGCTTGTGTCCTTTCTGCCTGTCTTCTTTCTCGACTTCACAGGCGCTAATGTTTTGTTGCGGCTCTGCTCTTACTAAGGGCGTTGCCGCACGGTGCACGAAACGAAAAATGAAACGAATGTATCTTCCCCCAGAAAATGGCCAGGTTCATCGGTTTGGTATAAATAGTAACGAGTGTATTTTGCCACCTTTGGTGGGCAGATTCACTCGTTTCGTTTTCGTTTCGTGTGCCGTGCGGCGAGACCCTAAGATTAGTAAGTGGGTCCTCTCCGCTACTCGACCCTTTGCTCTGTGTTTCCGGTTCGTCCTCACTTTCCTCTTTCGTTTGCGTCTCATTTCTTGGGAACTTCTCTCATCATGTGTTCCACTCTCTTCCTCTCCCTCGTCTGAACCCTTCCCCTCCTTGCTGTTCCGCTTTCTCTTCCTCTCCTCTCGACTCACGTTCGTCCTCTTGCACTCGAAAGCCCTCTTTCTCTCCTTTCTTTCCTTGTCTCTGGCTGTTCCCTGTTCGAAATATTCTCGAAGTTATTTTCTCTCCTTTCTATCGTCGCCCGTCGCTGCTCCCTTTCCACTCCTTTCGTCGTTTTTCCTCGTCTCGTTGTCTTCGTGCAAGGGCGTGATGATGGTGAGAGACGTGTGTGGCTATGGCTGCCTCCCCGCCACGCCCACTGGCGTGGCTGGATTTGCCCAAATTCGCGTCCAGATTCGCGCCCCCTTGGCAGATTTGAAAAATCGAAAAAAAGTTTGCGCCCGTCACGCAGGGCCTTCCTGGTGGGTAGGCCCTTGAGGCCACCAAGAGGCTCTGTTGGGGCTGTCTGCTGTGGGCAATAGCACTAACCGCTGGCGCTAGCGCAAAAAAACCCTCAAGACCATCATCTTTGTTTGTTTGTTTGTTTTCTTTTCCAAAGGAGTGGGCAAACATGCGCATCAGAAAAAAGATGCTGTGAAAGGTTGTGGTTGTGGTGAAGGGGGGGATGGTTCTTGGCAGGTCTTAAGCCACTACACTGGACCAAAATGGCTGGCAGCGGTCAGTAGGCGTCTCCACACAGCGGCTTCCAATACGTGGCGCGGGCAAACATTCACATCAGGAAAAAGAGGCTTTGAAAGGTAGCGGTGGTGGTGAGGGGGATGGACGGTTGTTTGCAGGTAATTCAATGCCATTTTATTCATATGAAATGATCTGATATCATTAGGACTTGAACTCTTTTTATTCCTGGTATCAAGTACTATCAACAACTCTTAACCTCTTAAGTGTGCCATTCAGTTGCATGGGGGCTGGGAAGTGACACACTAGCAGTTGTTTCACTGACAAATGAGAAAAAGAAAAGGTGTCAAAATGCCCAGAACGAACAGACGAGACTGCGGCCAAATGTTTTGTTCCTGCAATTCCGTACGATCCATGAATGAACAGCAGCACCATCCTGTCCCATTACGATACTGCGAGTGAACTGTACTTATGAAAAGGACCACAGCTGTAAAGTCAAAATCAGCAAAGGCACACAAAAGGTAACCCAAACGTGACCTACCCCCTTGCCTAATCCTCACCTACCCTCAGCCTCTATCGATCAAGAACTACACCACCGTCCCCCAGGGAGCGGTAGAGGGCGGAAGCCAGGCGTCAGGAGCTGCCGTAGTACTCGTCCATTGGGAGGTCAGATGGATTGCAAGGACCCTGGAGGGAGTCGCCTTGAGGTGGGTCCATGAAGCCATGACGTATGCTAATGGTCAGATCGCAAATCGTGATCTGTGCCAATGCACCACCATCCCCCAGGGTGCGGTAGAGGGCGGAAGCAAGGCGTCAGGAGCTGCCGTAGTACTCGTCCATTGGGAGGTCAGATGGATTGCAAGGACCCCGGAGGGAGTCACCTTGAGGTGGGTCCATGATGCCATGACGTATGCTAATGCTCAGATCGCAAGTCGTGATCTGTGCCAATGGTTACCGGACTGACCCGACCGTCTTTTTGTGCAGACACTACCCTAACTCCAATGTTAAGGACGACCCGGGTGCAGGTGGGGTCCACGCATATGTGGTCATCCCCCATCTGTGCTCGTCCCGCAGACTCTATGGGCAGCGAACCACCCGTCCACCAAGGTTCGGTATCCCACCTTCCCAATCCTGAGCATGATGCCTTCCAATCCACGGCTCGTCCAAGGATCCAAGTCAACCAACTAATTTCCCCAATGAGGATTCCCACGGAACCCCAACCTGGATGAAGCGTGTGATAAGCTCAGATCCGTACCGCGCGGCTTGCCGTATCCCTGAGGAAAAATCCCGCGGAAGCCCCGAAGTACGGACGCGGATAGAAAGGGGGTTTTCTTTCTTTTTGCTTTTGTTTCCTTTTTGAAACAGCTTTTTCATTTTGTTTGGTTAATAACTCCCGCGGGCGAATAGCGTCCGCGGTATGAAATC